ACTTAGTAAAGTCAACTGAATTATTCTTTCATCATGAGTTCTGCTCTGGGAACTGTGTGTAAGGAGTGACACCCCAACTGAATGTTCAACTGAATATTTCTTTTTGTTGTCTTTACTTGCTGTTTTGGAAGTTAGGGCTAGGCAGTTTTGATAATATCCTTTTTATTTGCTTTAATATATAAGGATCTATAATGAGAATATCACCATTTATACATTTTTGTGTTTATCTGTATCCTAGTGATTTCTTTTTTTTTTTTTTATGTTTTTAGTAGAGGGTCTACAGGGTCTCAGTACTCAGATTGAACTCAGAGTGATACTTCCAGTTTTTCAGCCTCCCTTGATTTCTTGCCTTCTGGTTCTCTCAGTGCTTGTTTTGGGGGAGTTTTGTTCACCAACTGTAATACTGACATCATCTATTTCTCTTTGCAGTTGTATCCAAGCTGTATTCAGTATTTTGACTTTACACAGATTTTATACACATTTAGGACAGTTACTTCCCCATAGAGAATTGTTTCTCTCTCATTAGTTTATGCTCATCTTTACACCAGATAATTTGTGTTATTCTGAAGTGTGCTTTGCCTGGGTTTAACACAGGTCTCCAGCATGCTCATGATTAGTGTTCATATGGTATATCATTCTTCATCTCTATATTTTGTGTGAGTTTTTGTAGATGAAATGGATTTTTTGCTTATATTCTACTGTGAATATCTTTGACTTTAAATTGGAATAATTAAACTGTGGATATTGGAGGTCTTTATTGATATTCATTGATAAATATCTACAATTTTAACAACTGCATCATATTCATTCATTTTTGGTCTGGGTTTTTTGCTTGTTTTTCTATTTTTTTTGTTTTTATTTTTGTTTTGTTCGGTGTCTTTAAAGAAATATAGCATTTAATTTTGTGCCCTTTTCTATAGAAGTTTGTTTTGTCAAATTTGTAGTATATATAAGGCCTGACTGACATTTCCCAATTTGATTTCAGAACAAAAAGATGAAGAGTCTAAAATAGAATATGATTTCCTGACTTCCAGGTAAGGGACCTGATTAGGATGAGTAAAATATGAAGATGCTCCCCAATTTTCCCAATAGGACATTTAAAGTACTCATAGATTTTCCATGCAAGGGTAGAAAATCCTGCCAGGGTGAGGACATACTATCACCCAGTGAAGAAATACAACTTTTAAAAGGTGCCCACTGTCCTTGAAATACTCATATATAATTGAATAGAACAAATCACTTCACCAATACACATCAAAGCCATAGAATCTACTCTCGTTTTTGCATGGTTGAGCTGAGGATGCAGGTCTGATTATGTGAGTGGATATAGCATATTTTTAGGTATTTTATACAAGAAAACTGACCAGACTAAAACATCTATCATGTTACAATAAAGTGTCTTGAAATGCACAAGATCTCGGACTCTCCAGTTTCTCAGAAGCAGTGATGTTCCTGCTGTTTGTGCCATCCACACTGTAGGCAAAGATGAGTCACTGATGTGATTTTTGTATGACCTGGGTGTCATGGTTCAACCATGCAGCAGCCTTAGACTCCTTTTCCACCAGCTCATTTTCCAGCAAGTGTACTGGGCATTGCTTCCTGTATCCTGCTCTCATGCATCTGGTTCCTGCACAATGATTTTCTATTTGTAGAGAGTTCCTAGTGCCCCTTACCTTACAGGACCACCTCTCTGCACCTCTGACAGCACCCCTGGGAGATACAGTAGATTCTCCTTGGTTTAACTGCATTCTTTATGTTACCAGGATGAACTCTGAAGATACAAACATGGATAAGGTTGAATCAATCCTGCAGCACTCACTGCATGGAGACCCCAAGTCTCCCGCCCACAGGGACAACCTGTGTAACACTCAGGAGCCTCCTGTTGATCTGATCAATAATCACGAACTTTTCTCTGGATGAAACTTTTGAGTCTTCCTTTGTGAACTGAATTGTCTTCATCAAGCCTTATTTCTTTGTATCCAAAATAAAATTTATCGTATTGAACACAGGAGCAGACAAAGTGGTGAGCCTGAGGGACTGTGGCCTTTTCAGATCTTGGTGCCTGTGCCTGTCAGAACTGCATAACCTCGCTCTGTAGGAAGGGGCCCTGATCAACCTTGCATAGGACTTGAACGTAGTTGACCATTAATTTTGTACTCTTTAACAACAGTTTCTGCACCAGAGATATAGCTTTTTGGTATAAGCACCTGTCTGGCAAGTGCAAGGTACTGAGTTCAATCCCCAGTACAAAAAAAAAAAAAAAAAAAAAAAACAAACAGTGACTGATACAGCATGTTTTTCCTACTGGTTTTATCATTGGAGATATCACATCAGGGCTCCTCACATCCATACCTCCAGCTCTTTTTCTTCTAAGTTGTCTTATGTATTCTAAGGTATCATCTCATAGTAGAATTTGAACACTTCTTTGCTGTGCCTGATTTTCCTTTGTTTCTTCTTTCCATCTGTCCTTCCTTCCTTCCTTCCTTCCTTCCTTCCATCCATCCTCCCTCCCTCCCTCCCTCCCTTTATCCCTCCCTCCCTCTCTCCCTTCCTTTCTTCAATTATAGGCATGCACTACCAAGCCTGGTTTTGGGCCAGGACAACATATACAGGGTTCCATGGCTGGCACAGCATGCAGTAGTGGGGATCAAACCGAGGACCTTGTACGTGCCAGGCAGGCACTTAGACCACTGAACTATCTCCACAGGCCCATAATCATATTTTTTGTTCCTCCCACTCTAGCAAGCACAGAAACTAATCTGAACAGGTCTGGTTACCTGAGGAGCCCAGTCAAGACAGAGATTCCAAAATTCTAGGTGGAGATCACAATCGAAAGAGAAGCTGCTCAGGGCACCACTTCCCAAGTGCCTGGGAGCTCAGCTTCAGCTTCCCTGACTCTGCACCCTCTTGTGCTTATGTACTGTGGGTCATCCTTACCCTGGGCTCATGCATAGCCTCTTACTATGTTATGCTAATGGAACTCAGCCATGGATCCACTAC